CGGGGGTGAAATGTGTCCCTTGATTCCTATTGATCCTTTGAATGACTCCACAAAGTGAATTAGGTCTACAATCAGTTCACTTTTCTACCTTCATATTGACTCATCTTGTTTCACAATTTCATTATTATAAAAAATTAAATTATGTTTCTAATTTAAAAGAATTATTAGATACCTTACTTCAGTTATAAAACAGATTTTCTGCTAAAATGCTACTTAGAATGATAAATCTAAGCAGTCTTGTCCACATCTTACCTTTGTAATGCAAGTAAAGCGTATCATTTAAGTATGGGGTCAAGTATAATTTCTGCTGTTTACAGATGTCTTGCAGAATCTTTTTTGTCATTCTAAAAAAATAATGGAAAGCAGAAGCAAAACAAAAAAATGTGTTTCAGTGCACATTCTGAAATCTTTGGGTTTTTAACAGATTTCAATGCAACACAGTTAATAGTTCTTTTATGCAAGAGAAATGGCTAGGGCTTTCAAGACTATACTCAAAATAAAAAAGCAGTAGGTTTTTTAAAGGGGCTTTCCATTTCTACCTCTTTGAAGTGAGTTACTAGGCTCTTCTGCTAAAAACCAGAGAGTACGTAGGAAAGTGGGTAGGGAATTAGAGAGTCCATCTTCTTGGAAAAGAGCAGCATGAGTCTATGTTAGAATCTGGTTCCTTCCTCTCCAATTCTTTCCTGCATTCCTTGCTGCTTTGGTGCAGGACCTTTGGTAGCACAGGCAATACGCAACATTCTTCTCAGACTAGAAAAATCAATGGTTACCGACCTAACATTTTAATGAAACGCCGACTCTGAAATAGCACTCAAGACAGTTTTAATATACAGCTGTGATTGGCTAGGAATGCCACAGTAAGAAAATGAATAATACCTGTTCAGTTGTAGTTGCTTAATGTTCAGCTCCACCCCTTTTGGGATTCACACAAGCGAGAAGCAAGAAAAGGCTACTCAGGGAAGCTGTGGGCTACAGCTGAACAGCGCAGGGGCAGAGGACTCGGCAAGAGGCATGGGGCAGAAAGCCACAGTGTGAAACAGCAGAGGCTGCAGGGGCAAAGCACTTGGGCTGGCAGCCAACAGCGGCCAAACGAGGCCAAAGCTGCACACAGTCAGCAGGACAGCAACCCCCCAAAGTGGTAAGTACACGGGCGGCCTGAAAACTGTTAAACCAGAAATGGATCGCGGTGAAGAGCAGCTGAGGGAGTGAGTTACGCCGTTATCTGGGACCCTGTGCTAGGCAGCACGGGCTTGACATTTTCATAGAGTTGGTAGTCCCCGAGCAGGGACTTTGCAAAGAATGACAGGACACTGTTTTTGGAGGCAAGGTGCCCAGGGCTACGTAAAATTTAGTAACATTATAGACAAGAAACTTGGGAACCCATTAGGAAAACACCTAGCAAAAACATTCCAAAGCAGAAAATACCTATATCTTCCTGTTTAGAAAGATTAGGTTCTGTAAAACAAAATTCCAAAATAAAACTTCTAGTAGATATTCCTCACTTAAAGAAATATTGCAGAAGTACAATGTTAACTGGTCCAAAATTATTTTCTACTTCTAAATTCCATATTAACAAATTGAACTTTGCATTTGTGGTCATAAGTATTCATAGGACTAAAGCTTGTAACAGTAAGATTTTCTTGGCAGGAAGATATTTTCAAAATAACAAAAAAACTTGAGTAAAGGTAGCGAAGTTAAACCTTTCATAATGAATTTGCTTTTAGATTTATTTACTTAGTACATGAAAGATCTCAATATTGCTGAAGAACAAAACTGTAATACAGTTAGCTAGACAACTGAGTTCCTGGGGCAATATAAAATACGATTGTCAGCCTGTGACTGCCCTGTAAGCCAAACGTGCCGGACATAAATCTCTGAACTTCAAGCAAAACCTTTAAATATATACTGTTTTCTTGTATTGTCAGCCCAGGTGCATTATTGTATGCTAGCTACTTGCAGTATATCCCACTGTTTTTCATTGTGCTATTTGTAGTAGCATTTAATCAAATTATTAGCATCCTCAGGCAACTTATAGGATCACAAAACGTGCTCCTTCAAAACACTTAATTATCTTATGGGCAGTTGTTGCTCTCTGCCATCATTCTTCACAAGAACTTAATTCTGAAGTGTGCCAGGCTGATTAGCCCAGGATAATGATGTTTTCTATGTAAGTACAGTCCAATCGACCTCCCGATAACTCAGTGAGAGTCTTTCCCTTGACTTTAAAGGACTGTAACTGTCTCTAATAGAACAGCTATATTAAAGTTAGCAGCAACATAAACTTTGCGAAGTTTCAGCATGTAAGCAGGTACAGGAACGGAGGGTAAATCTTCGTTGTTCCTTATATATCACTCCATAACTAGCCCACGTGACCAGACTTTCAACAATGTTATTAAATAGTACCAAATACGGGTTTTAATTTTATTATTTGCTTGCAATGTTCTTAATCAGAGATAACACAAGAATAATCCCATTTCACAATTATTAATGAACAGCCATCACAGCGTACGCTGGTTTAGGCTGGACCAAAATTAGAGCCAGAGCTTACAAAGGAGTTGTATCTTATTGTCAACCATCTGAGGTACCTCCGGATTTCCTCTGCTAAAAATTATCTTGACAACTGCAATACTTACATTGTGATGAATTAATACGATGCGTTGTCTGAATTGATGCTTAGAAATGGTCAAATCTACTGACAAATGACTCCCACAAGAGTTTGCACAATTTTCTCCAGATCCATGAAATAGACTACGTCACGTAGTTAGAATGTAGTTTGCTACTGCAGCCATAAAAAAGCCATACAGATGCTGCAAATATCAACAATTCTTGATTTATCGATTAATCTCAAATTCACCTTCAAAATTGCTCTCCTGAATTAATTTGTAGAATAGCAAAACTCCCATTGACTTCAATGATGCCAAGATTTAAATAAAAAACATCCACAAACAATGTATTACCTTACACAGCCCCTCTTTTCTTCTGTCCTTTGACTGAATGAGCTGGTTACTGATTTGTGATCACCATCTGATTTTTGTTCATTCTGTTGATCTGCTCTGGACATACAGTTGATGGCTTTCTCTTGAGTTTTAACATCTTTGCAAGAAAACAAGTTGCAGTTTAACAGCATGAGTGGGGGGAAAGTGTCATGTTGCCAATTACTTCAGAGCAATATTGACGAGCACTTGAATATGAATGTCAAGAAAAGAAGTGTGCTAACCAAGATTTTTGCTGACCTTTTAATGAAAGGAAACTTAACTTTTTTAGAAGGCAAAGTAGTAAAATAAGTAGTAGCAAAATAAATTGTTGAAATTTGCTTTTTTTGTTTGTTTGTTTAGATCTGGAAGTCAGGTAGTACCCACTAGTCTTAAGATTATTATAATGTACAGTGACAATATAAAGTACTGGCACCAATATTCTTATGGTCTTAGACTTCTAGTATATATTACATTTAGTTAACAATAATTTGAGTTTAACAAGACTGCTAACTTTGCACATAAAGAGACTACAGTAATGGTATATCTGAGTCATCTCAAGCACTGTTTGTTAGCCTAGCTCTTCTACAAATTTACCCTTTTGCACTCTTTGGAAGGTGTCTCCAGTGCTATACTCATTCAAGCTGTCTTTAGACTGCCTTTGATTAATTGCATTTTCAACGCTCTTCTCTTCAGATTCCTGCTCTGCACCTTCTAGTTGCACTTGTATTCCAGACACTTAAAAAGAGACAGTGCAAACAAGATAATTGTACCAGCTCATTTAAATATGATTGTAATTCAAACAGTTAGAGGTCAGGCTAGCTGTATGAATACAACACAGGAAAAGGTATCTCTCCAGGTAGAAGAAAATTAAAGAAACAGGGAAAAAAAAAAAGCACAATAACATAGCAATTGAGTAAGCCTCAGTTATGGCAAGATTTTCAGTGACTTCAGTGGGAGAAAGAATAAACTCATATTGCATCCAGATGAGTAACGACAGACTTGATTTCTAGGCTCTATGTTCACTAAAGTTCCCTAAATTCATCCTAGCGAGCCAGCTGGAAGGGCTCACCTGTGTTGACAGAATTGCCTTCATTTTCTGTTCGGGTAGCTTCGTTTCTGGTGTCGTTCACAGACTCTCCTGACACCTCTTGCGCAGTAACCTCCCCTCCAAGGCCTTTGTCCGAGTCTCCCTTTTGTGATTGCATTTCAAGATACGTGATTTAGACAAACATCAGCCAAGTCGGTATTGGACTCACAATCCAACAACTTCCAGACAAAATGTGTAAGGGCTTTAGTAGGAGAACCTGTTACAGATAAAAAGACCGTGAGTAAATTGTGAAGCCTGCACGGAGCTAGCAACCTGGGGGCTATTCACTGTGGAGATACCAAAAGGCAGGGAGAGTTTATCTTAAATCCTGCCCACAGCGGATCTCACTCAGAGCAGAGAGGACCGTGGCCCCCCAAAACCAGAGCAAGTCACTCTTTTCCTTTTGAAGCTGGCGGCTGAGGATGCAGCGATGGTGCTCCTTCGAGGCACAGCCTGCTCTTGTGTAACGCCTGCCTCTGCCCCACTGCAAGCCGGGCGGACTCCCGAGGGCAGTTTTAGCCTCCTCACGAGGATTGCGGACGCTGTTACGTTTCAGCCCTGCACTTTTTGCTGTTACAGCCCCGGAGCTCGCCAGACAAGACTCCGTTAAACCTGCAACTCCCTTTACCTGACCCGGGCTGGGCCGGCTGTTCCGACCCAGGCCCCGGCGCACGGGGTCGGCGGCCGCTCCTGGCCTCGCCGCGGTACCTCCCAGGCAGCAGGAGACGTAAAGCGCGCGGGACGGAGCGGAGGGGAGCGACCCCGAGCCCGCTC